CAGTATTACACGATCTGTAGACTGTTTTCAATGGAACAGGCAACATTTTTGCATAATGTATGTTAACATAACTATAGACTCGGCATTTGATTTTTATTCTCACGACTTGACAAATCAAAATTACGGTGGTCGTGTTAATTTATCAACATCCGATGACGATACGTTGGATTTACGTAATGGAGTTTCGCCCATCAAGACAATAGCACTTTCATCATTAAGTAGAGAGTGGGGCACACAATAATTTTACTAACTGTGTTTGTAAAAAATGGGTTACATTAAAAATAATGTTTTCGTAATTCTGTTCCGCACTGCTTGTATAGACACTACAAACAGGTCATCTTCCCCATCCAAGTATAGGCCTATGTGTACATTTTTGTATTAAAAGTGCCTCAGGGACGTGTAAATTTATTTGTACATTGTTGCTGATACGTACACTATTAGATTGGCAAACGGGGCCATGTGCCCCCCCCACACACACACACACAAACTGAAAGGCTTTTTGGCCTTTTTTGAAATGTGACACAGACGTTTTTAGTATTTCACTTCCCCTCCTGCAGAAACATTTAAAAAGCCCCATATTTAGCCACAACTCAAGCAGTCTATGAAGATCAAAAAGAAATCCTCGACTTTTGGACGTCCCATCCTTAAGTACACTTGCAGTTGAGACAGAATAAAAGCAAGTAGAGTGACAACACACGAAGACATCATTCACTAAAGCACATGGTCATATCAATACGACCATCAAGTCATGTCGAAAGTCAAACTATGTCACCGTCAGTATAGGAGCTACCGAGGGAAGTGATCCAGGGGCTTTATTGATCCACCGCTAAAGTGGTAATAACCCGAGAGAAGACGTCTGCAGACGAGTGTCTTTTCCCGATACTAGCCTTCCCAGGTGACCGGCCGATGCCCTGAACTTAAGCGTCACTAAAGTAATTGTAAGTGTCTGATTATCCATCTGACATATGAGGGTAGTTAAAAACTAGTCCCATTTTCCCGCGAGCGAAGTTTCATTGTAGAGTTTACATTTTTTGAAGTTAAGTGGGAAAATCCTGTTCTGAGTTCGTCAAACTATCCATTTCTATCGACTTCAAACTATACTAGGATTTTCAAAAGACACTAATCATGACAAATCTTACGTTTTACCTACAATTTGATAAATCGCTGCAGTGTTTCAAATAGAAATTCAGAAAACAAGTTGAAATGTAACAGAATCGATGAATCAAATACTTTGAAATCTGTACACTTCACAGTGTTAGATATGAAAACAAATTAAAATCATGTTAAAGTCTTCATTTTTTTTACTGGGCTTTCTTTCATCAATACCTTAGCCCGACATACATGAAGCCCGAAGGGTCGATGGACAAATTCACACCAAAGTGATCATTTCAGTAGCAATCGCTATTGCCATCAGATCTTACTGCTACGCTTACGTGGACTGTAAATTGTGTTTGTTTCTGTCGAGGGATTTTAACTCCCATCGGTTCACGCTCCCATACTTCTTGGGTCCGGGACGCGGGAACAAAATGCTGGACTGGCGATCTCTGAACGAACTGCCTTGCATCTAGCTATCATCCGGCAGGTGGGACCATGGAGCCGGGCTAAGCATCTCCAAGCAGACGGCTAATACGTGATTCTAAAAAAAAAATTGTAAAATGGCACAAGACAGTCCAGCGTGGTTTTGAGCCAATAAAACATTTGACTCAGATGTAATTTCATCCAATTGTGTTTGCATTATTGCCTAGGATAAAGATTAATGACGGAACCAATTTGGGTAAATAATGCCTCAACAAAGCCAATAAACTCTTTCGCTCCTATCATACTAGTTCTTGTACATTACATTTTTTCAAATGCAGAAACTTGTGAGTTCATCTTCTAATTCCATCAACATTGCAAGATCCATAGGAAAACATTAAAAAGACGTCGGCGCACGCTACGTAAGAGCAGGTGACGCTGTCTTCGCAGGTTTTCCAAACAGAGAACGGCATTCTACAATAGGTTTTTGCTATCGTTGTCTGGGCCTAAAGGTGGTGACGTCATTATGACAACAGTTTTTATCCAGAACGATCACAAAGATTCATCAGTACATTTCCCTTGGGTGAGTCCTAGAGAAGTTAAATTCGACTGCACATCCCCTAAGTTTGTTTCTCCAATGGTCTTTTTCCCTTTCTTTTTATTGATACGCCTTAGGTTAGTATTTTTAGCCGCAAGATAATTTTCTCGAGTGGGTCAACAGTTATTCCTCTCCAGCTTTATCATAATACATTGATTTGTGCATTAATACTGTAAATACAATAGACAGCTGCAAACCATATTGGACACATATATCTTGGTAAACAATAATTCATTAATTGCTTTGACATTCAGATATAATACAGGTATGTTGCAAGAAGCAAACCATATACCTGTTAGGAATTTAAAATTCAACCCTAATCTCGTCATGTAAGATTTCAGTCTGACTATTTTCATGCTTCTTTCACCTTTGACTCCATCCACCCTGTTTCATATATATGTAACTACTTCCCTCTCCAGAGGTCGATCTCTTCCGTCGTGCTGTCCCGGAAATGAAAAACGAGGAAGCGTTTTAATGAACTAATGAAGACTGGCATTTCGGTGGGGGTACGTGTGTCTGGGTTGTAGCCATGGTAACTACTTTGTAACAGGCAAATAATCAATGGCCATTCTTCAAATATACAAGAATCTAGCAATGACGTAGCCTTTTGCCGTAAGGACCTACAGGTAGATCAGTTGCAGTTCTACGTCCAGTAGGGTCGATCGTAAATTTCCTGGAATTCCATGACAGAAATATTTCGTTTGCTAATTGCACCAGAAAGACTAGTCTAGAAGCAACAAGCCTAATGACATGAGCTAAAAGCAAGAGAAATAATTTTATAAATGACTCTACCAAGTCTACTCCTTAGAGTTGAAGCTTGAATTAAGTATATGTTCTAGCACTAACGTACAGACTGGCTATCTCCAATGTATACACACTGGGGGTATGAACCAGACCGTAAGGTACCGGCATACAGTTCAAAGAAAATCCTGCCGTTTTGTGAATTAAGCATTGTTCCCCTCGTGCTAAAAATGAAACGATTTTCCAACTTATACCAATAGCAAGAATAAAATCATTACCAATTTGAAAAGTCACTCTTTAGATGACAATCCCATGCAAACTCTATGCAGTCATATTAAGCTATAACTTGACTTGCTTACAGTAAATAGTATATCTTAATTGTGCCATTGTGAATGAATAAATTTTCATGAAGCATTAAGCTCTACTGCGGTGATGGGTTATGATAGTCAAGAGGGAACACTTCCACTTGCTAACAATTACATGCAATCTCTTCATCACGCCATACACAATGTAAGTGCACTGTTTACAGCACCGGTATTAGCCAAAAAGAGACGCTTATAAAATGTTATATTATTAGAAAGGGACTTTTAAACCTACGGTCTTACTATTGGAGCCAATTCAAATTAAATTCTTATTAGGTCGTAACTTACATGTATTTTGATAGCATAAGTGAATTGGTTGTGAGAAGGGAACCGTCTAAAGATTCTATCTGTGTCGTGGAAATCAAAATATAAAAAAAATCACAATGACGAGGGTTTTTGCTAGTGGCAAAACAAATCAGACACAAAGATAACTTGGCCTGAACTGCCAGCATATATTTTCCTCATAGATTTTACACTCCTTACGTTTTTGCTTCATTAACTCCATTAATCAGTAGTAACCAAAGACTAACTGACAAAAGTCTGTTGCATCGATAATAATCATACACTAAGCATCCTCTAGACCCCTTGCAAGGTGGGGTTTAGGATTCTGGCCTCACTAACAAGAAATTGCAATTTTTTAAGGATGGATGCAATGTTTTTTATTATAAATGGCTAGTTTTGATGTGTGTGTTGATCAAGGCGCATATTAAAAGCAAATGCCTGACTACGTGGACATATATCTGTACGACTGTTGCATGCACGGCTTAACGAGTCGCACTACAGCGTAATATGTACAAGTAAAATGACTGGAACTCCGGGTACGGCTGTAGGCTGACAAATGACACCAGTGGAAGCCCGTGCTCCTCTACCATCCCACCCCTTTGAATTTTTGAGACGCATGCAATAAATGTAAAAGGTACAGATAATTTGCTGCTTTTCAGTACCCCTTGAAAAAGTGAGTGATTGAAAAAGCTACTGATTCCCCCTCAGAAATTTCACCCAAGTTACGTCACTACTGTCTGAGACTGATTACTAGTAGCTCAAGTTATAGTAATGTGAAACTTAGCTGCTTCATACTTGACATTTTTTCCAAACGTTACTTATCTTCATCACTTTATCTTGGCTCAAAAGGTCATACAAAGGAATCATACAGCTGTTCAATAAACAGTAGTCGAAAGCCTTTTTCGTTGTGGCGGAAGTTGCCCGCTTATAAGAAAAAATCGAAATGTGAGGTTCGTTTGAATAATTTATTGCAAACCGGGCCACCAATCACTTTGTCTTGTATCCATTGACAAAAGAAACGTAAAATCATTTCGATGGAGACTATCAGACCTCTGTTATTCTAAAGCATTGATGCACTTTCACAGTTGCTAGTTTTTAATGATACACAGACATATATTATAATCAACATAATATAAATAATCATTCAAGTAATATCTCAGACCGCAAGCCTCTTAAACGCTGTTCCGAGGGTGATCTTTTGTTACTACTTGAATAAAACAGCGAAGCCTTTTTTAAACAGGAGTAATGATCTTACCTTCTCCTAGAATGTTAGTTGGTCAGTTTTGTTTACATTTACAGCACATACCAATGCTCGCAAGTATGAGTGTGGAATCGGGGGGGGGTGTTTTTAGGTTGTCTTTGGTCATACCAGTGGCGTATGAACAGCTTCATTTTAGTTGTTAGTTGTTAGTTTTTACAATGTATGCAATTCCTGGTGAATTATATAATACATCTTTTAGTTCATGCATCAGGACCAGCAATATCTTTTGATACTGTCAGCCTACAAAAGTGTGATTATTGCCAATTAGATGCCGGCCAAAGAGAAAAACAAAATAATTCTAGCCTGGGCAGAGACCTACCCTGTAAACTCGGCTGCCAACGTTGCATATTGATTGCGTGATGTAGGGGAGCTAATTAAGACTCTTCCTACAGGTTGGCCACATGTGTTAGCGCAATTATGTATGCCCATTGGATGGCACCGGGTGCATGCCATAAACTATAATGAAGCTACACTGTTTACGTTACATATAGAGTGCCTGTTGCTCCAGTAGAAATCATCACCTGGCAATTATTATTTGGGGCAAATACATCCTTATTGTTTTTGTTTGTGTGTTAAGCCATAATAAATGAGTGACGTGAACTTGCACATAGAATAAAATCCTGTAGTTTGGATAAGAAATCGGACCTTTCAATAAACCTTCGAAATATTACGATGCATCCTATGACATTTTATCAAATTGACAAATATTGAAGAATGCATGAGTGAGTAGGATCTGAGAGCTTTAAAATGTTACAGAAACCTTTGAAATTGCATCCATTTTGTAATTGCAGTGGATTGAAAGTAAGAAAGGTGAATGAGAGGGAGAACAAGCCCGTGTTTTACGAGTAGGCCCAACTTGAGACCCACGTCCCCCCCCCCACCGTGCATCTTACAGGGGACATGAAATTTTCAGGCATACTTGAAATTCCACTTTGAAAGAAGTCCTCAGGAATAGGAAACGATAAAATAATTCTCGTATGAATTTGAGACCCTTTTCCACGAACATCAGAATATTCGAAAAGTCACTATTGCGACTTAAAGCAATTCAAAATCGAGTTCTTAGCCGTAAAATGTTCATTCTGGGAAGAAACATTATAATGCATCGGTGGAAAATCACTCGCTAATAATACTCACCATAAATTGGGAACGAGTTGGTAGGCCGCAACACACCATGGAACATGCAGACATACTCCATTCATCTGTACAAGGTGGTCACATTTTGGAATTTACGGTCCGTATGCTTCATTCGGACATTCAGACATCAGCAAGTATTTCGCGAAGATACAACGCAGGCTCATTGTGACTGCATGTTGTGTTGTGAGTTGCTGGTCGAGAACTACTCTGGACCGACGCCCGTCCGACACTGTTATTGCAAGCCAAAGAATTGAGCTTCATCGAGAGAAAGGACAAAATCCCAACCTAATATGAGCCATGCACAATACGTGCATAGGGTTTCTGTGTGTACCACAACAATATAGAGTATAAGGAGAGAAAAATAACTATTGAATATGGTGTGGCTCGTGCATGTATTCATGTACAATCACTTGAATTTCCATAAAAATAGGCCTATTGGAAGCTCTTAATGTGGAACAATCATGGCCTTCGTAATAGAAAGCGTGTGACAATATTGAGCGGGTGTTATTGAAATTAAAGCGGATATTGGGGAGAAAGGAGCGCGGCAAGGCAACCGGAATTGCCCGACAGAACTGCCACCATTTTTAATTGTTTGGCTTGCTTGGTGTGGAGTAACGACAGGGGGAATTCCTTATCCGTTTCGACCCAATAATGTCAACAAACTTCAGCAACGCATCAAAATGCTCAACTTACCATTATTACAGTCGCTTTAGGCCTACTGTGTTCACTGGGTTCGTTTAACATTTACGTTTAGTGAAAGAATTACGAAAAATCTCAATATTAATTACAGTTTTCAAGTAGTTCTAAAATAAGTTGTTGAAGGGTTCTCCTCTTTTCCTGACGAAGACCAATCGCAAAATGAAAATAACAGTTTTCATGAAATACTTTTGGTTAAGGTATCAGTTTTTGCTTCTAGATCATTACAATAGGAAATAAACAAGAACATTTTAAAAGAAGAATTCTTTACTCGTGTGACAAATTTGCATTTCGTTGGTATTTTTATACCACAAATGTTTTGGTCTTGTCTCAATTGACAATTAGTCCATCCTAAGCCTGTGCTGGCTTAATTTATCAGAGGAGCTTTCCACATGTGCATCCTTTTGGGTTTTTTTCTCTCCATTGACACAGCACTCACATAATCGTGACATACAGGCCCATCCGTGAGTTCATGTTTTTAATTAAGTCATTTATTTTACATTTGAGCCCAGCACATAGTTTGATGGATTTTTATTCATAATCACAGACAATTTTCGTTAGTTGGGCAATGGCCTTAAATTAGAGAGTACTTACAGCATGTTGTTAGAAACTAGCGAAACCTAAAAGAATAAAGCCAGCTCTCGAAGGTCCAAAGAGACATTTGGAAAATGTTCCCAACGTGTTTCGGTTGCGCCAATACGACTTTATTGTGGACTTTGCAAATGTTGCCCATGAGAGTGTTCAACATGGGTAGACAGAATTCTTGGGCAATAGAACTCGAAAATTAAGATAAAATAATATTTACTGTACTGTGTGTGTTACGTTTCGTCGCGTTTGATTCAGTCAGTGTAACGCTTTTTAACCCGGATGGACTGAAAAGGCAACTAACAGACGCATCGCGGATGATGCGTAAAAATACTTGTGGACAGTTCACCCATTGAAAAAATATTGTATTGCATTAGTAGAAAGACATTGCAAAACTATAAACCTGCTGGTTTGTGAACTCTGTTCATCGAGAGTTTGTAAAAGTCTTATTAAAAATTCATGGAGAGCAACATAAACATCACATTTTACGTATTTACCGTTACCTAATCACATACTGCACTTAACGTTTTGTACAACAGATTGAAGTAATACATAATTTTCAGTAAGGCTTTTGCACATACATCTACTAAATATAATAAGATTTTAGTAATCATTACGTATTTTGGTTTATTTGAAAACTGTGTGGCTGTTCCTTTTTCTGTGTGGACTGTGAAAGGCTGAAATATTTTGGCTTCTGTTTTTATTCCAAATACATTTTTATCTCAGCACAAGTTCTGATGCCTCAACACAAGCCAGGTCACATTCTAATGAGGGGTCATTTACTGAACAAAGACGGCATAATGAAAAAGCAGCCCAGCGTTAAATTTTGTTGGTAGAGCTTTCTCATTTTAAGATACAAACCCCTAAAATCGTATGTGCAGCCAATATAATGGTTGGATAAAGACTTACCGGTACCGAATTCGTTCGGATCAATGGCAATAGCGATTCCGGTTACGAGGAGAAAAAAGAGAACCATGATGTGCTGTTTCGATAAGTGCAAGCTCCGAAGTGAAGTTAGTAAAATATCTATAGCCAGGCAACCAAATCATTTTTGTGACGAAAGGGCGACAACAGCTACCGTCTTTGTTTCACGAGAGTTAGGTCAAAAGACGACGGCTTTGCAAGATGGCACGCTGCTCTGTCATAATTACACCAGAGCAATTCACTGCTAATCACCTGCACGGCTTGTAATGCAATGCTGCAAAAATCCATTCTAGCAAAGGTGCCTATCTTGATCCACAAGGATAACGTCACTTTCGTCATCTGAGACACTGGTGGAAAACAACTTTCCTGGTGTTCAATTTCATCCAGTTTTTCATCTCTACATTTAGATGATTTAATCTAAATTTATTCCAACGGTTATGAATCATGGTCACATCTAATGAAACTCTTTTGTCTGATCCTCTCTCCATTATTTCTAGTAAAGAACGTGATGACATTTGAGATCAGACCAAAAGGTAACCTACCAAAGCTCTAATTAGCATGGGTGTGTTTTTGTATTTATTTTGATTTGAAATTTCCTTTACTTTTACAGGTTTGACTTACCAGGACTTCCTCAGATTTGGAGTAAGATAAAGTAATGGGCTTGGCCAAGCTAAATGGCAGAATGAATGCCGGTCTTTGCTTCCCATAGACGTTTCTCTTACTACCTCACATTTGTAGTTTTGCCACAGTGACTGGTGAAAAGTGTCTAACCATTGTAGTGGGAGACTAATTCTCAATGTGTTAAACTGTCAAGTAAATATCAAAACATCAAATAATAAATACTGGGTTTTGATGCAAAGGATAAACTACAGCAAACTTACTACAGCAAACGCCCATACAATAATAGGCATTAAAAAAAGATATATGGTGTATGAATGGAACGCATGAATGCATAAATACAAACATACTGTACATGAGATACTAAGGCAAAGTTGCAGTTCAGAAGCCAAACTCTTCATCTTAAGGTTTTCGGCAGGATATGTCCTTCCATGCGCATTTAACACTACCCGGCATAAATACTGGGGCCCTCCATGTGCAGTTTCATTCTCTAACTTAATAGAAAACACTTGATGTAGCATACAAGGCAACATATTGTAGGCCTACATTCACCTTTCCAAAATTCCACGTATTGTCTCTGTTAAAATATGCATGTTCTTAATCTCTACTTCCAGGCAGTTTGCAGAATGCCAAGGGCATATATGTATCTGGTTAGGATTCTCAAGTATCCAATTCGTCCTACCACACAACAACCGGCGTACAGATTATAACACTGTAGTGTCAAAATTTATTTTAACAATCATTTATAAAAATGACTATGATAATATATATATGCTGAGCTCCATGTTCATCATTCAGCGTCGCTGCCCCATAATGCAGGTCTACAAGAGAAAGAAAAACGGACAAAAACAAAATTTGCGAAAAAATTCCAGTCCTCACGCTCAACAGTCATTGCTCCTTGCTTCATTTTCCTCATTTTGTTTTTCCCCGCCGGAGGGAAGTAACGGATGTGTTCTTGCTGATACTAAGCTCCTACAATCCTTTGTATTTGAAGTAGTCGATAGGTTCGATGGTTTGAACTATTAATGGTTTTTGGCCGGTAAACGCAAATTAACACAAATGGATGGTATGCAATCTCCATACATAAAATAATTGGTTTTTCATGCTTCAGGCAAGTTCAAATTGACCACATGTTGTACAAAAAAGGCTCGCATATATTACATTTGGTTTTACAATGGACGATTTGTAATCGTGCAAGTAGAGTTTTTTAAAGCCGAGCCAAAGATAATGCTAAAGCAAGATAAATAATTGGGCGACCCATATGTAAATGTGAAGTTTGTTGAACACATTTAACTGGTATATGTACAAAGAAAATGGGTCGGTAAACAGTGAAGCGGGATCAGCTAACGCCTTTGAGTTGAACGATCTGTCTGCGTGCCAAATACTGACGAAGTTTGTACCACAGTTGAAGTGTACAAAACCGAAATTAGGGCAACGCTCATCGAGAAGACCAAATCTCTGGCAAACAGCGCTCCTAGCCCCGGGGCAATGTCGACTCATCTTCCCGTTGTCAAGGGCCTAAATCCTGGTGCACTGGCAAATTAACGCGACGTCCCCGAAACAACTAAATCAATAAAATCATCATCAATCGTTCGGTTTCTAGTCTTGCAGTTTCACTCTCGAGTGTAACGAGACAAGTTGAGAGGCGGAAAACATGAGATTTCGACCCAAGACGTTGGAGATTGCCGTATGGGCGATTTTGAAATAAAATCTTCCAAGTCTAGTACAACGAACAATCTTACTGAACAATGGAATTTGTTCTTTTTGACAAATACTGGATAAAAGTTATATATATATATTTATGGCGGAAGTATGTACAATTTTAGTTTTGACTATATTGTAGGCCTACATGGATTTTCAATCTTCATTCGACGTTAAAATTGAATAACATGTTTTTCATACATGTAGATCTATCAAATTATTGAAAGAATAAATCCACTCATTTTGTTATACCAGACTGTAGCAAACCTGCTTATTAATATTAAGATTCAATTTTAGTGCACATGCCTATCTTGCCAATTAAAACAGTTTCTTTTTGATGTCGTCAACTTAAGCATCTTAGTAGAAATCTCATGCCACACGCGTTGAATTCTTCTTATTGGCGTAGCTCAGGCTCATGATGTAACAATTTGCAAGCCAATAATACGTGGACGGTAATCAGAAATGAATTAGGTATTGCGAGTCCATCCATCTCCCCGCCAAAACATATGTTTTGGCGCGCTCCGTAATATTAGCAGTGCCTGGCGCACAAAGCTCCAGGCGCGCACGGCGCGAATCATTGGGGCATAGCCAATGAGATCCGACGGCCAGCAGTGCATGGCCGACCCTGCCGTTTTCTTGGATAAATCTACATTTACTGCTCGTCAAGGATCTGAATCTAAATCATATACATGAAGTCAGCAAAGCCTCCATTAGGAAACATCACACCAATTTGAGGGTTAGTTTGGGGTGTGGAGCTAGGCATGTCGTCGGTAGCCAAGGCCGTGTCCGAAACTGGATTCCAGAGCTACGGTTGGGTCTATCGTCTTCGCGTCTCCACGCACTTCCAATGGAGTGAAGACCTAGATTTAGCTCTAGACAACAGATGCGGATGCAACCTTACAAGCAGTGAAGGATAAGTCGTGCTGTTTTTCCAAATTGCCATGTCTGATATAATTACGTGCAAAACCCTTGTCTGTTTTCATTTTTTAAATAATCAGGGAATTACACTCAAAACAGTATACGTTCTTCTGGTACGTCTAGAAAGAAGGCAATACGCTGCACAATGCTAAACGTTATGGTTTAAGAATATGCGGCCTTATATATATGCCAGTTTTCTTAAAAACGACACCTAACCTCAATCTGACGTGTGTATTCTGAGACATTTTGAATTATTACTCTCGGCCTTTTCTTCTTTATTATCAATCCATTTAATACTAATTGTTACCCTCCACAATTTGTTTGGAAAATAATCCTGATAAATCGAATGTGGTCTTAAATCATTTATTTGTCTAAGCAATATAGAGAAACACCCCAAAAAGTATACGTACAAGGAAAGTCACGTGCAATTTTACCCTGACATTACAAATGGCAATTCAGCCGTTTATTTCTTTAGACAAACAAAAGTCATCGCATTCGAAATGAAATTTGACAACGAAACTGATATTAATAGCATGGAAATACAACGAGTAAACTAACTATCTCAAGTTTCAGTGTCTCGTATCTTGGCTCAAGAAAAAGGAGAAAGTGACAGGTAAACTTTCAAATATTAACCGTCCAAAAGTAATTGCTACCTAAATCAACTGTTAAGTTGCACAGCTAAAAATGCGAAGCACCGTTTAAAATCGGAAACCATTCACCTTGTTAGTAAGGTTTAACCATAACCACAGTTACTCAATGACAGCGTAAATTAAGCAAAGCCAAAATCATTTTCAGTATATACTTTAAGCGCAAACCTGAGCGAGTGGCTGCCAACAAGGCGAGGGGTTTCCTCGTCCAAATACCACATTGTTTCCATTGTCATTCCGCTATTCTGAAGGCAAAAAACGCGCCATTGTCCTGGACGGTCCATGGTCCTCAACGATGAAACAATATTTAGTGTGCATGAATATCAATGGCATCGTCTAGCCTTAACAATTCAACCGCACGGGGATGCCCAACGTTGCCTTGAATAGACAGCATAAAAGCAATTATTCAGCTCTTGAATACATAAAAGACGCTGAAAAGAAAACTTAAAGACTTATAGTTCGGCTGTCTGGGGATTTCCCAATGGCAAAACAATGTCTGGTTAAATTTCTATACAACTTGGAGTTAAAACTCATTACAATAAATGGATTTGACGTGAAACACTTCTGTGCAGGACTGCGTTTCAATTACGGCAAACAAAACTCTAAGTTACAACAGTGCAAATATATACAAAAATATGGTACTTCGGGTCTATGCCCTCAATTTCATTCAGTTATACAAAGTTAACCCCAAAAAAAACAAATGGCGAAATGATTTGTCGGAATTTCCATGGATTTTTGGAGAGACGACACTTTCAACGAATGTTGTGTTCAACTTGAAAAATTCCAAATACGACTGCCATTTATCAAACTTTGCGTAGGTGAAAATATAACCATTTTCGTAAATGGATAACACTTGCTTCCAACTCTTAAATAATAAAATGGAGCCAAAATTTACACACAACTTTGCAAAGCCGAGCTTAAAAACTGAGAACTTGAAGATAAATTAAATCAAGGTACAGCATTAAGGTGTAAACTCTTGTGTTAACATTCTTATGTATAAAATAACACACGTCTGTAGGTTTTAACTTGACCCCGCGTACTCAAAAATATTACAAAATATACAGAGCGGGAAGACTCCCCCAACTTTGCCTACCCAACCACAATGTCCGTGTGGAAACCGGTACAGGCAGCTTAAGTCCAAAGTTCTAGTGTCTTAAAATGGCGATTACCGTGCCCGCTCACTACCAGTATCACAAGAAAAGCTTTTTCTTACATGTGGGTTAGCGGGACTGTCCCATTGGCACCAGACACACTCTGATGGTAAGCTGCCTGCATGGCTACGGCATGTTGTCTCTGAGTGTTTGGGTCATTAGAGTCTGCTCCAGGCAGGTACATGCTGATCATGTCCTTCAACGAATCACTGGGCATGTTCCGTGCAGCAGCGACAGCAGCTGCCCGGTCTGAAACCTGCTCTGCCTTCGAAGAAGGCTGTTGCATTTGGACATGGGAGGCATAAGGTGTGGTGTAACTGGCGGAGTTCAGGTAGGCTGACCCTGGGGCGCATGTCATGGGCGGATAGGCGATTTGTCCTGCCATGTCGTAGCGGGGATGGAGTCCTGTGTTGCCGGCCATTTGTGAGCCGCTAAAGCTGTGGGCCTGCAAATGTTGCAGCTGGTCATGCTGCATCATTGGATATCCACCATTCATATAACCGTTTAAATGATGGTAACCCTGCATACCTTCTGGTACTTGCCTCTGCATTCCTGGTGGCCCTTGTCCCGGTGAAATCATGCCCGGCAGTGCGTACTTCTCTTTCTTCATCAGGGTCTTCGTCTTGCGCCGTGGCCGGTATTTGTAGTCTGGGTGCTCCTTCATGTGCACTGCACGCAGCCGCTTGGCCTCGTCGATGAACGGCCGCTTATCCTCGTCTGACAGCAACTTCCATTCAGCCCCAAGTCGTTTACTGATCTCGGAGTTGTGCATCTTGGGGTTGTCTTGGGCCATCTTACGGCGTTGGCCGCGAGACCACACCATGAAGGCGTTCATGGGCCGCTTGACTCGGTCGTTCTGTGCATTCTTACCGCCGCTGTTCGGGGTGTTGGTTGTGCCTACCATGATGGGAGTGCCGGGTTGGCCGTGATGCCCCTGGCTTAAGGACTGAGTGGGACTGGCCATCGAAGATACACTGATATTGGGCTTCAACTCCGTCTGCTCCATCATCTCCGACGTTGACTTATACATCTAGGACTTCGAATTATTCGTAAAACACGGACTGTAAATGTGTTCAGCGAACGTGAAATTTTTCGTGATAGCCGTTCGTCGCACGGGAGCTACGGTACAACTGCGGCTGTTCTGTGTGAAACTCTCGTTATTTTTAGCCCTCTTTGGCTATCACGTCCATGTGTAATTGATTGGCAGAGGTAGAATTATTCCGGCTTTGGCCAATCAGCGCGGGCGTTCTTGACGACCGAAGTCTATTGTTATGCAGCCACAGTACTGATGTCATCCAGTTGACAGGTGACGTTGCAGAGTGATAATTGGCTGCGTTGTTATGATAAGCAGCAGCGAGGGTGTTCCCTTTGGAGCGCTATCAATGCGCGCACAAAAGCAACTGAGCGAACTAGCCAATGAGAGGGCAGTTAGGCCACCTATGAATAGTTAACCAAGCCGGGTCGACCTGTCATGCCAACCATACTCAAACAAGCTGGAACACAGCTGCAGGTGCGCGCGCAAAACTGTCCTTTGACTGACATGTTGCCCACGTGCCAATCAACTTGGAAATATCAATAACGCTGAATGTTTGCCTCAGACAGGCCGAGTACAGAAATGGCGTAAAAATTGTACTCCATTCCTTTTCATTAGTTTGACCGTTTCCAGAGAATGAAAGTAAGATTGAAGGAAGAGAATCTTGCAGTTTACTCCCCAAAACTTGAGCTTAAGGCTGACAACAATTATCATCACTTTCAATTCTTTATCAGCCTGTATTTATGCCTGAACAAAACCACAATAAACTGTCAACAATATCCATTTGTACAGCATTGTAAGCTACCACCTCTGTAAGTTTAAAAGCACTACATGGTCAGTAAAGAAACTATTGTTCATGTAAGGTTACTTATCCGTGATTTGTTGACTACTGAATTGACTTCCACAGATGAACTTGTCAAAGCCGGTTTTCTCCGTCTGTGTAATAAGTAATCACATCAATAATGATACAGAAAATCTGAACGCGAAGTTCAATTGCAACCCTCTGAAAATGTTCACACTGAAATGTTTTAATGCCATTCGATTCGCCAAAGCTACCCAGTTTTTGTTGGTAGATTTCATATCAGGCAAGGACGCTCTGATAACATTTTTTTTAATTTGACCCCTATATGCTTTTTAAACGTTTTCCCTGAAAATTGTGTTAAAATATAACAAGGAGCCTTTTTATTTTCATTTTAATTTAAATTTCAATGATGGTTACTCGAAAGTTAATTTTCTGTAAAACGTTCTTACCGCTATTTGTTGGTGAGAACTTTTGGAAAGGTTTTTATCCACAAAGGTCTGGATATGTTTTCTCCACTTTTTAAAACCAAAGCAAAGACAAACCTTATACATGTACATAAAACCGCAGTACTGTGCCAGTCGTGTAAGTTTCATTCGTTATCATCTGATACCAGGAATAATCTTTAGCGTGTGCGAGACTGCCTTTCACACGGTGTTTTGGCTCTTACAGCCCGCCGAGACATATGATACAAACAGCGGGTTGTGGAAAGGCTTCGCACGCGAGCTTGTCGCGAGTCGCCCTCGGAATGCGATAACGCTAAGCAAAACATCAACACCTGATAAAAGGTTTAGCAGGTGATACAGATCGTGCCTCAGTGCTGCTGCTTCATGGGGGGGTTGTTACCATTAATTTGGGGATATACAATGCAATGTAAACTTTTCAAATATGTCTTGGGTATGACCTCTCTCCTGTCTTTAAAAACTTTCCAACTATCGAACATTGGGCTATGTTTTAAATTCGTTTTTAAACCGTATAACCAACAATAATTACAAAGTATTTACTATTAAAAAAAATTGAGGAACTATGCGGCATTCTTTGTTGGATCCTGGTAAGTACGTCCATTAATGGACTTTCACTCTTGGTGTGGTACATAATGTGCAATCTTTTATAGAACCGATTTTGTGCTTAACGAGAAACGGTTGCAGTGTTCAAACCTTTCACTTGGATGGCCTCGCACATGGTTGGGCGATGCAAAAAGAAAAATCCAAGCAATTTTAAGTGGTTCTTTTTTTTACTGACAAAACACTGTATAATATAGTTTATATTACATACACAGTGCAATAAACTACTGGTTGAAACCCACCACAAGTGTTGTGTCCGTTGTAAAATGAGAGAACATTGATTCCTCTTGTATAAACAAGGCTCTCGCCTGTACATAGGGCCTACAGAATTGCAGCAAAATGAGGTTTCACGCAAGGTTTCTTTCAACTTTCCGATAAATTTTCAATTGTCAAATAATGTTTACTAAACTAATAATACTTAAACACTGCATGTAGAACAACATATTCCCATCTAGCTGAAAGTTAAATGGTGACCGATGTATAAAAGTAAAATTTGAAATGATATCATGATGGTGTCATTGGTTTTCTATCGATTTTCAAATATTTACTAAGTTCTCTTAAACTTTGTATATGGATATGTTTATTTAAATGTCGCTTGTGTATGTACAGTACGTTATTCAACAATAACATGCTTGTATACTGAAAACGTAACACACATCGTGCATGTTTTTCTTTTTTTGACTCTGGCGATCCCTTTGCTAGTACCAATGCAGAAGGACGCGGGGTGAAAAACAAGAATAAAAGTTTTGCTCAATTATATTACAGATTAACCTCCAGCTGTATAAATTTGCTTAAACTTCTAAGTTATTTGCACGTTGAACTAGGTATGAAAGCACTATCGTCTTTTCATCAAAACTGAATATTGATCAATTTTGTATTAAAATCAAATTACTCAAATTATTCCTTCTTGGTGGTTTTGAGTAGTCGATGTTTACCAAACTTTATTTTAAAACTCTAAGAGGGTTTTAATGGCTGTGAAACCTTCCCACAAAGTCTCTTCTTGATTTATTCCTGGGTTAAAAAGCTTTCTATTGAGACTAGGGTTTTTTCCAGCTCATAAGCCATTCATTCCTTCACATCACCCTATTCATCACCGCACCCTCTCAATACCCCACACCATTCAATCGGCCCAGGGTCTTCTGGCTATTTTTCTCGGGAGCTATTCACCCTGCCCGCTGGACCAAAACCACCGGTCGTTGACTGAATCTGGGTGTAATTCCCTGCCAAGCAAGCAACAATGGTAAATAGCGAGTCATCTTCGTAACCCTTGCGGGCAAAAAATAACTGGTGATACTTGGCCACTTTTGCGCATATATTAAATGAGTCAATACCTTGGTTTATGCAGGCATCATCTGCATTATCATCCTATAAAATGAACGGCCTAAAATTTAAAAACACACAAATCAGTTTTTAGAATACGTGTTAAGGTGAAATAAATCCACAATCTCAAGTTTTAAAGTTTATTTTGTTACAAGTTACAACACTGACGTTCCAGCTCCAGAATTCTAAAAAACAATCACTAGAACATCATCATAATGACGTCTCTGATCATTGCTTAGCATCCTTTGCGTTACCATCTGTGATAAACAGAAGACGCCGTAATTTAATCATCGACGCGGTTTGGATTTTGGCAGCTGAACTGAATTAGACCCCTCAATGCTATATTCAAACGGTCACAGCTATCATTCAGTTCTTGTTGAAAATTTATACGTTATAATTTATGGTATCGTGAAACGCAGATTTCTTCACCAAAGAATGTATAGATATATTTTTGTAACATGCCTTAAAATGATTATTTGTAATTTTCTCAACGTTTGACGTATAAAATTTATCCAACCTGTTGCTGATAAACTATATTTGGCAGACCATGGGACAGAACCATTTTTATAGCATTTATAATCTTATGCAACTATTGAAACGTAATAAACGCTACGTCTGTATGCTCAATGGAAATACTTTATTTGCCAATTGGGCGAGGGTGCATATCAAGGCAAAAGCTATTGCCCATCAGGGATAAATATTTTGCAAGTTTTGGCCACTCATAAACTGATAGGTAATATTTGTAACCAAAGGAAAGTTCTGTAATTACTGATTTGATATGGGTTTTAGTCATGATACTACTGCAACAAAAAGTGTTGCTCTTCCAAGATTTCGGATTTAACCTGTGTCGGAGTCTACCACTCCAGTTGGAGGGCTCGGTAGCTTCAACTGCTTTATTTAATACATGTTTTTCAGTTATAAATGCAGTGAGACCCACCATTTCTATGTGACCAAACACTGATTTATTGAAGTCCTTAGATGTAAAGTGAAACCGAAACTTTTAACGTACCTACATATACAGCTACAAAAGGGATACCGTTGATTTTAATGACTGAAAAAAGGGATTAAAAGCTTTTCTCTGTGCACGACACTGACTGACATTGAGAGGTTTCCAATATGATCAGCTTACATCCGGGATACCAATTACACGTACATGTACTGTGAAAACCAATTATGTTTGAAGTAATCGCGTGAAATTAATAAATGATAAAGAACAGCTCTCTTATCAGGGTCCTCACAGTAGAAACCAAACCTTCCTTATCAATATCAAGATACATGTACTATCTCGTTTTACAAGTTACAGCTTAGAACACTGTGGAAAGTGCTCTGGGAGCGTTCAAAGGGAAATCATCACAAAGTATTATATATTAGCGGTATGCAAGCCACTTTCTTCTCCCTCAGACCTCTACTTATGGAAAATTATGTGTCTGGCTCGATCATCCATTTCACCCGCATTTAGGGTTCCCTGCATCATAGAGACACTCGTATTGTTTTCTATTTTCCAAAAACGTTCCGTCAACAGTGACCTACTAATTTAAATATATTCCGCACAAGTGAAGTTACTATGTATTACAATGCATTTATGTTTGTGCTATACATACTACAAAACATTCCAGTCGTGTTTGGATACCCTTTTCTGACGCGACACGTACTTTTTGACTTGCCATGATATATCGACCGGGTCATTACTACCCGACACCAAGTCTTCTTCGAATTTCAGTTCCTGACGGGAAGCATCCGAGCGTTTCCAGTCTAGTGCGCACAACGCCACTAAATTCACGGGAGGTATTTCACCCAAACGCCCGCCTGTCTGTCTGCGGCAACGCTACGGCAGTTCTTGGCACGCAATCCCGCCCTCCACAGAAAATTGTCCAACGATTTCCTCTTCAGTATTTAAAGTCGTTATGTTTGATTCTGTAACTCGGAGAGGTCAATTTTCAAAATGCGTATTTATTTCCTCGTGGGCATT